TTTCCCCATCCACGTTCAGAGATCTTCTGTAATCTTTCCACAGTGGATGGGGTCCATGGACCCCAGGTTAAGACCCTCTGATCTAGTCCAGGCCCCTCATTCTGGTCAGGACTTGCGATTTCCTTGGAGTATAGACCTCCCTCCTTCAGTACAGAGCAGAACCTTCTGTGCCATTTCCAGGCCAGCTTAGGGTTACGGTTCCCTGAATTCCCTGGGGTTACACAATCAATATGATGGTATTTGAAGCCAGCTCTCAGCCCCTAAGGCTGCTCTTGCCCCTCATTTCTCAGGGCTGCAGAGACTGATTAGCTTGGGCAAAGCCTATATTTGAAGGGCAGTTTTCTGACCCCAAATTCAGCACCCTTACCAAAGCACCTCTCACTAAGAAACCACCTTCCAGATTATTGACCAAATTCCCTACTTTTACAGAGGAAGCCCAGAGAGGGAAAAGCACTTGCCAATATCACCCAGGAGTGGAATTCTCCAACTCTTCTGAGAGCATATTCAGAAGGAATATCCCCCCACATTACTGACTAAGCTCTTGTGGGGAGACGGGAACTCTCCTCCTCCTCCTCATTATTGATGCTGGGCACCAGAGTGCTGGTGGGGAAATTCCAGGTTTCTTTTGCTTTCTGTCCTGTCCTCTGCTTCACCCTCTTCTGGGTATAATAATGGCTGGGGAATTGAGTCAGACAACCTTGTTCAGGTCCTAGTTGGGATCTTGGATGTGACTTCCCCTTCCTGGCTTCAGAGCCCCGCTCTACAAAAATACCAAAGTCAGAAAGCCTTGGAGTTTCCTCCCAGCTCTAGGACTATGGTTTTAGAATATGACTTCTATATTACAACAATGGATGAAAAGAGAACAGGAAGGTGCCATGTTTGTCTCCCTTTCCTAGTCATAAGACCACAGATTTAAAGCTGAAAGGAACCTTACAGGTTATTGAAGCCAAATCCTTCTTTTTACAGATGAGGTACTGAGGCACCAGGGATGAGGGGAGAAGAAACATCTACTCTGTGCCAGGCACTGTGTTAAGAGCTTTTCAGATATTATTTCACTTGAGAGAACAAAGAGGAATATTTTATAAAATAGGATCAAAGCAGATTTCTCACTGGTGAAATACACAGAAAGTATATGTTGTACATTATACACTACAGTATACAAATATCCTTTGGTGAAATTACAGAAAGCAACCAGGTAGCTAAATTCAATGGCAAGGGGAATGGGTTGTGTTTATTTGGATAATAGCAGAAATGTAATATTGTGAGTCCAGTAATATGCCTACTGAATCCATCCAACATTGAAGACCCCTTAGGTAGTATTAGAAGACCCCTCAAATCAAATCAATTTAAAGTACCTTGTCTAGGGTCACACAGTCCCCAAGATAGGATTTGAATCCAGGCCTTTTTGACCCTGCATCCTTTGCCCCATTCCATATACAATGTCTGTTGCCCTACATCCTGCCGCCTCCAAACAAAATTGTTAAGTAATTTGACATTTGTCTCAGGAGCACTGCTTTCACAGCCTGGAGCCTCCCCTCCACATACACACACACACACCCTCTTACCTATTACCGTTCTCTCCCTACTTGGTCTTTTCCCCCTTCCCCAATAACCTTATTCTTGTCTAGGAGGAAAAACAAGCATCTGATAAACTTGTGCTGAATGTTAGGGACTTTGTGTGTTTCCCTTCCAGAGATGTTTAGAATTTTGAAAGTGAATCCTTAGGAGGGAATGTTTAAGGCAAAGGAATGAATCCACTAACGGTGGAATTTGGGGAAATCTTTTTCACAATGAAGTGAATAAGGTAAAATGAGGAAACTGAGGCCAAGATGTGAAGTGGCAGCTGATGTTATAGCTGGTACTAGAACCCGAGCCTTCTGACCCCCCAGTCCATTAGACCATGATGCATCTCTCCAGGCTGCCAATACTCTGGGGAAGGCTCCCATCTAAACAAAAGGGAAACATCTATGAATTATTTAAGAGGTGCTTCAGTGCTAAGGACCATGATCTGTCTGGGAATATAGCTAATCTCCTAGCCACTGAATGGGAACAAATAGGAATATTACACAAGATGAGATCAAAGCAGATTTCTCACTAGTGGGACATAACTTACAGAAAGCAACCGGGTAATTGAACTCAATGGCAAGGAGAATGGGTTATGTTCATTTTTATAACGGAGGACATTTAACTCTAGGCAGCTAGGTGGTAAAGTGGATAGACTGCTTAGCCTGGAGTCAGGAACACTCATTTTCCTGAGTTCAAATCTGGTCTAAACCTAATACTTAATAGCTTTGTGGGGAAGTCACTTAACCCTGTTTGCCTCAGTTTCCTCATCTGTTAAATGAGCTGGAGGAGGAAATTGCAAAGCTAATGCCAAGAAAACCCCAAATTGGGTCACAAAGCATCAGACAAAACTGAAAAACAACGGAGTATCAAAATGTAACTGTATTGTGAGTACAATCATTTGCCTACCGAATCCATCAAACATTGGAGACCCCATAAGTAGTACTAGAAGACCCCACAAATCAAATTAATTAAAAAACTTTAAATACTTACTATGTGTAAGTCATTGTCACCACTACTGTGTGAGATACAGAAACAGAGAATAACTTTAAGAAGCACAACAATGTTGTAAATGTATTCAGTATTAGTGGAGTCATGGAATGGCTCCAAGCTAGGCAGATTAGCCTACACCTACCCTCCTTCCACAGACGTTTTTATATGGTTTAAGAGGGCAAATTAACATGGAACATGAGTTTCATGAAGCCTGGGAATTTCTGGGTTCCCATAAGTCCCACAGGTTGAGACAGTCTTTTTATTTTTTTCTTATAATTTTTTTAAAAATTTCTTTTTATTCCCAATTTAAAAACCAAACAAAATGAGCATTTGCATAATCATCATAGAACAGAAACAGAGGACTATACATGAAGTTGCAGATCTCTAGCCAGTACAATAGGCTTTTCTGTTCAAGTCTCTAACAAAAGTGTGATACCCTATGCAGATAGAGGGAAGAGGACCAATAGCATCTGACCTTCATCACTGAATGGGCGTTGCCTCAGACAAACTGAGACCTGTTAAAGACCTTAGCTTAAAAAGGCCAAGGTCTCCCACTGCATCCAAGGCCATCTCCAATCTTCTTGATCTATATCCTGCCACTGCACCCAGATGGCTCTGGAGGAGAAAGTGAGGCTGGTGACTTTGCACAACCCTACCTCACTTAAATCCAATTCACTTGCCTTCCTGATGTCATGTTCCTTTTCGAGAATGAAGGACAAATACCAACATAGCAAAATGAACCTGCAGCTTTCCAAGCATTTCTGGCCTTCCTTCTCTTCTAGACTCTCCATTTTAAAAAAATGCTTCAATGACTCTCATCACAAGTATACATCATGAAGCAAAATGAATTCCCACATTGGCTCTATTTGAAATGTCTAATTCTGCCTTTTGGGGGTGGGGTGAGGCGAGGGGAATGAGGAGAACAGTCTCACCACGTTCCCCATAGTATCTTTCTATCTCTAAAATGATATGGAGCTGTGATCTTATGCGGCTACTTTTCCCTTCAGCTAGCTGCCTCAAGGATGGGAATAGAGGGGATTAATGGCTAGTGGCCCTCTGGGGCAATTCCCCTCCAGACTGTCACAACCACTACTCAGCTGCATTCTTACCATGGGGCATTCTCACCCTTGAACATCCCTCTGCCAAGCCCTGTTGACGCCCATAGGTGAGTTCCCTTCAGAGCCTCCATTTTGGGAACAGGCCCAGGCCAGCCAGGCTTCGTTCCCCTTCTGGCTGTGCGGGGCTGACTTTCAGGACTACCCCATCATGTCTTCTCCCCTTCCCCCCTTTCAGCTCTCTTTTATGCATTATCTTCTCCTTTCAGAATGTAAACTTCCTGGGGGAAAGAACTGTCTTCTTTTTGCCTGTATCTGTATCCCAGCTGCTTAGTAGAATGCCTGGCACACAATAAGCACTTAATAAATGCTCGTTGCCTGCCTGGGGTGCTCTAGGGATGACTGATTCTAAATAACATTTACTTGATAATTAAATACTAGGGTGAAACTGCCAAAAATATTGAGGTTTTGACACTAAAAGAAGTCATTTTTTAGTTTTTCCAAAGCATACCAGAAGGTAAAATCAGTAAGTATTGTTTTCCAGTTTGGATGAATTAATGGCCATTGATAGTCTGAACTTCCTCTCAAAACACTACTCAAGGACTAGATGGAATTTAGATAACTGAAATGGCATCACCTATGGATGACTGCGACCCTAACTATGCCAATAGAAAACCATTTGCCCTCGAAAGAAAGAAAACTAGATGAGAAACCCACAGGACAAAGACAGGAAGGCATTTTTTTCTTGACTAAACAATCCCCTCGCTAATTTTCCCCCTAGAAAATGTAGGTTTCAAACCCCTCCACTTTCTCCAAGCTAATGTTTCTCTCCCCTCCTTCCCTTTGAATTTATTGATCAATCTGGTCAGCCTGGGTCAAAGCAGCTGCAGTTTAAACAGGAAGCTTCTTAAAAACCTTTTCCTTCTTTAAAAAATAAAAAATCCTCTTGGTCCCTTAGCTGAGACTTGGCCGAGTGAGTGCTCTGTGGTGGCCGGGAGGCTTGCCTGGGGAAGAGACCCCTTGGAAAGACGTCAAAGCTCAGCACAGAAGCCTTAGAGCTGGACAGAACGTCAGGAAAAAAAACACCTGGCAGACCACCGAGGCATAAGGAAGCTGCAGGAAGCAAAGCTAGAGAATTGCAGACATTTGGCCCCGAGCTTGAATCCCTGCTCTGCTCGTTAGAAACTGCTGGTGGTGTGACCTTGGACGAGTCAAATGAGGTTGTTGGCTGGGGAAGCCAACGTCCCTTTCAGTTTGAAAGCCTGGGGTCTGTTTATTGGCTGGGTAACCCATTTTCTGTCTGTAAAATAGGGGAACTAATAATACTTGTCAATTAACAAGCCATTTTTTTAAATTAAATTTTTTTTTAGGCAACTGGGGGTGACTTACCCAGGGCCACACAGCTAGCGTAAAGCGTTTGGTCTGACGACGGATTTGAAATCAGGTCCTCCTGACTTCAGGGCCGGTGCTCTCTCCCTTGCGCCATCTAGCGGCCCCAATTAACAAACGCCTACTATGTGCCAGACACTGGGCTAAGGGCAGGGAAACGCAAACCCAGCCTCGGCCCTGGAGAAGTAGGCAACGTGCCTAGCCCCCGGGGTGGGGGGGAGGGACGGTGGCCCCGTCACCTAGTAACCACTCCGGCCGGCGGCCAAAACGCCTCGGCACAGCGTGACGTCACGGGCCGGCGGCCAATAGGAGTGGGGCGCGGGGCGTGCTCCGCCCCGGAGGGGGGTGTGGTGAGAATGTTGCAGAGCTCGGGCCATGTGGGTCTTCAGCGGGAGTGCCGGGGGCTCCGGGAGCGCGGGGACGCCCGGGGTACCGGGGGCGGCTGCGCTCGGCGGCTTCCTCCTCCTCGTCCTTCTCCTCCTGCTGCTGCTCCGGCCCAAGCGGCCGGCCAGCTTACCCCCGGGCCCCGCGGGGCTGCCGCTCCTGGGCAACATCTTCTCCCTCGCCGTCTCTGCGCAGCTGCCGCACGTCTACATGGAGCAGCAGAGCCACGTGCACGGCCAGGTACTGCCCCCGCGCCGGGCCCAGGCACCGCCGCCAGGCCTGCCTGACCGCAGGGCCCGACGCTGGAGGCGGAGGCTCGCCGAGGCCCCAGCGCACCCTTGCAGGCGGCCCCTGCTCTCTCCCGGTGTCCACCCTGCAGCCATCACGTCCTCTCCTCCTGGTGACCGGTTACCCCCTCTCCTAGTGTCCACCTGCCGTGGTCATCCCCTTTTCCCCCTGCAGTCAACTCTCTTCCCCCCTTTTACCTCCCCCCTCCCAAAAAATGGGTGGTCGGACCCTGGCTGGTCATCCCCAAGAGAGGCGCCCTCCGGGCCGCCCCGCCTGGACTTAGGACGCCGTGGCCTCCGCTGACCTGCCCGGAGTTAATCGTTAATTTGACATTTGTTGTCATTCCAGTGCAGGCTTTGAGCTGAAGTGATTACCTCAGAACGTCCAGGCCGGGTCTTCACCTGGGGTCCCTGGTCCTTCTTTCTTCCTTTCTTCTATTCTTTTTTTCCTTCTTTCTTTCCTTCTTTTCTTTCTTTCCTTCCAACTTTCTAGTTCTCTTTGTAACTCTAATCAGTTATACATAGTATTTATACATTGAAAAATATGATTCAGAGTGGATAGGGGCCTGGAGTCAGGAAGACCCAGTTCAAATACAGCCTGAGACACTTAACTAGCTGTGTGACCCTGGGCAAGTCACTTAGCCCTGTCTGCTTCAATTTCCTCATCCATAAAATGAGCTGAAGAAGGAAATGGCAAACCACTCCAGTATCTCTGCCAAGAAAACTCCAAAAGAGGTCCCATTTTACTTTTGTATTGTTTGTGTGCCGCCCTCTTCATGACCCCATTTGTAGTAAAAATGTTCACTATAGTTATTGAATAAAGGGAGATACAAATACTTAGGTGGTGGGAGAAATTTGGGAAGGGAGAGTTCACTTATAGCTGAGAGAGTCAACGAATAACCTTGTTATTTGAAACCTGTAATTGGAAGGAATGAATGGATGGAGGGGAGGGAGGGAAAGGAAAGAGGGAAAAAAAGGAGGGAGCAAAAAAAGGGAAGGAGGAAGGGATTTATTATTAAGCCTTTACTTCAGGTAAATCATTATTCTAAGTACTGGGACTACAAATGGAAGACACAGTGTTACCTGACCACATTCTAAGGGAGAGGGAGGTACAGACAACGTAGTATATAGGAAGTTTCAGCTGTGAGTTGGATGCCAGAGTCCAGTGGCCCACACCATGCAGGTAAAGCTGACAGTAATGCATCTTTAATGTCCCTTCCAATGTTAAAGCCGTATCCATTTCTGATGCTGAACCATTCAGCAGTGCCAAGGGTTTTGGTGGGTAGCTCTTTCTTTTTAGGGGGGGGGCTCAGTAGCTGAGGCTGCAGCTCCTGCAGAGGCTGGTGGCCAGGTCCTCTCTCCTCCACGGTGGCTTCCCTCTATGATGGATGGAGACATGAATGGTGGTTACTGCTGTTCCTGGGGAAGCAAGGAGGTGGGGAGTGTTTAGTGGGAAAGACAGTGAGTTGGGTTTTGGACCCATTGAGTTTCAGTTGTCTCCAGGACATCCAGTTGACAATGTCTGAAAGGCGGTTGGGGATAGGAGACTGGAGGTCAGCAAGGCCCTACGTAGTGGCTTGAGGGGATGATTTGGATGTGGATTTTCCACAGGCATCAATTTTTATATGAAACCAAAATGAAGGAACCTCTACTTTCATGTTCTGGAAAATCCCATTAGAGGCAGAGTGGTGGTGTAACTAAAGAAGACAGTGTGATCTAGTGGAAATTGTCTTGTATTTATTTATATTCAGGCCCAGGCTCTGCTCCCTGTGTGACCTTTGCGCGAGGGCCTGCTGTCCACTCTCTGGGCCTTAATTTCCAAATCTGCAACATCTGGAAATTGGAATAAACAGATGGTCTCTGAAATCCTTTCCAGGTCCAACATCAAATAGGATGTCATGCACCCTTATTGAAACACCACCACATAGTCATTGGCTGTTTTCTTTGGGTATTTCTAGCCCAGAGACTTGACTGCCATCATAAGATGCCTTCACCTGTAGAGGAACTCCTTACCTAGCAAATCTATGCAGGACAGGGAAGTGGTTGGTTTTTTAGAGAAGTAGAGTATCTGTGGAAGAGGTCACTGGCCTCCAAATCCGGGCTCAAGGCCGTGGTCCTAGGGCTCTGCACTCTGGTGTAAGCCCCGTCACCTCACGCCTACGCTGTTGTAATAGATGCAGGTTTGTTTGCCTGCCTAGTCTCTCCCCACTCCAGTCCGTGGTAAAGTGACTTTCCAAGCTGCTTAACTTCCCCAAGCATCAATTTCCTCCCATAAATGATCATATTTCTGGTATTTCCTACCGCACAGTTAATTTTGAGGACCACAGGAGATGCAAAAGTGCTTTGAAAACTATAAAACAGTCAAATTTAAAGCGTTTCTGAAATCTTGAAGCCACACAAGCAGAGAGGATAGAACCTTTGCTCTTACATTCTTGGAATCTAAGAGTATGGCATGACATGACATGATTTAGATACTAATTGATAACAGAGTCTCTAATTAGCCGAGATTTACCGTGTTGACAGCACAGAGGGTGGGCCTGGTACACCCTGTGTGCAAACCTTGGTTGGGAGGGACAGCTATAGAAGGGAAAGGCTGTAACACACAAGGATTTCTGTTTGGCAAGTAGGGTGGCTTCCTTCTCACCGTGTCATACTGCCTATTACTGGGTAGTGTGTTGACGACCCAAGAAAGTCCAGTCAGCCGGAGGGGTGTGGCTTTCTTGATAGTATAGAGTGGAATTAGAAGATAGTATTATTGATGGGTTGTAGTTAAATCAAAATTGATTACACAGTTAAAAATCACACTTATAATTCAAGAGGCTTATAAATGAAAGGCCTTTAAATACTTAACAAGGATAGCTACCGCTATTGATAGAGGTAGCAAGTTTTGCTAGACCCAGCAGGAATGGGACAGTGGGAAGAGCAGTCATTGGAGGAGGAGTTGGAGCCTGGCTTCAGGGGCAGACCCTGCCACCAACTTCCGTCGCTTCTTTCTGAGCCAGTGTCTTCTATGAAAGCACCTGATGTTTTACCACCGGATGTTTCTTAGGACTGTTGTGAAGAAAGTGAACTGAGGCACTGTGTATAAAGGGGAATTATTATTAAGAGTGGGTGTGAAACCTGTACACTCAGGTACATTAGTAAATAGGTAATGATGAAATAATGATAACTAAAATAAATAAAAATCCATGCAAACAGGTCATTAGTAAAACAATGCTTAGCTCTTTGTGGAAAGGAGAAATAAGAAGGGATCTCAGAATTTCCCCTCCCACGGGGTAGAATAACAAGTGAGGCGCCTCTCACTGACACAGACCTTGCTGGGGCTGGAATGGACTTCTGACATGTGTCCCAACTCCCTCCACTCCCATTTTACAGAGGAGAAACTAGACTCAGCATTTGGTCTGAGTGACTTGTGTGAGGTCCCCCCAGTCAGACGTAGCACCCCAACTTGATGCCACCCACATCTCCTGCCTCTTCACCTTGCGGTCCCCCCTTCTGCCCACGGAGCCAGGTGCTGCTCCAGGCACAGAGCCAGTGAGGAGGCTGAGCTTGGGGCAGGGCCCCAGCAGAGAGGAAGCTTCTGTGGTCCTCCTGACACCTCACCCACTTCTATTAATACTTGTTGGTCACTTATGGAGGTTTGGAAAGACACCTGATGTACCTCCGAATAGTGACTTAGACTCTGATAAGGCTTGGAAAGGAAGAGAGATTTCCTTAATGATCTTTCCCCAGATGTGTCATTTAAATTCTGCTTTTTTCTTCTTTTTCTCTTTCCAAAGATTTTCACTTTAGATCTTGGAGGTTTGTTCGCCGTGGTCCTGAATGGCTATGATGTGGTAAAAGAATGTCTCGTTCATCAAGGTGAAATTTTTGCTGATAGACCTGCTCTCCCTTTGTTCAAGAAGTTGACCAAAATGGGAGGTGCGTGTGTTTTCAACTATTAGGGCCTTATTAAAATACCTTAAGCCGATTTCAGCCATCACTCAGTTTGAGAAAACACAATCTCTGTCAAACAAAACCCAAGATACCCTGCACATGCAGACTTGGGCAAATGAGATAGTATTTGGAGAAGGGCTTAACGCAGGACCTGTGTGGGTACTTTATAATTTTTTTTCCTCCCTCTCTCACCTTGGGCACCCTTTCTGAGCTGTAGTTTCTTGTGTGGGAAATGGAAACAATATTTATACAACCTTCTTGACGGGGTTATTGTCAGTAGGAGAAGACATGATATAGATCAAGTTCTTCATAATCCTCAAGAAGCGTTTAAACCCTAAGTGGGTATTAGAATTATTATCCATTTTTCATCTTAGAACATCCCAGCTTATTAAAGGAAAACATGATTTAATTCAGTTCAACAAATATTTATTAAGCCCCTTAATATGATGAAAAGACCATGGGCCATGTCCTTCTGGAACATTTTCTCTTCTAACAGAGGAAATGACATGTATGCAAATAACATCATACAGATAGGACAGGAAGTAAAAAAAAGAAGTATTTTAAGAATTTGATTAGGGAACAACTGCTTCGGGGAATCAGAAGAGGCTTCCTAGAGGAAGTGGCACATCAGCTGGGCCTTGAAAAAAAGGAAGGAGTTCTGGAAGCAGAGGTGGGAATCCATTGGGTGCAATGGAGACAGTATCTGCAAATATGGAAAGATGGGAGAGGTCAGAATGAAAGTAGAGCATGATTCTAGGCCTGGTTGAGTTTATGAAAGGGCATGGAATGAGTTATGGGTAGACTGGAGCCACACTGGGAAGTACCATAAATGCCAGGCCTTTATTTACTAGGCAAAAACCAGTGTATGTGCATGAACAAAGAGTGATGTGATCAGAGCTGGGCTTTGGGAGGTTATATATATAGCCAGAGCACAGTCTGAAAGATGAAGGATCAGAGAGAGCAGGTAGGGACACATGAGGGCTTGTGGTGGCAGTCAGAAGACAAGAGAGAATAGACACTGAGTGTGTTGTGGAGGTGGTTATCAACAGCCTGGCGGCTGATTAATATGGTGGTTGTAGGGAAAGCATCAAAGAGGTCAATGAAGCTTTGAGCCTGAGTGACTGTGAGGCTGGTGGAGGAACCTCAGAACTGGAGCAGCCAGAGGAAGAGGTAGGTTTGGAAGAGAAATGATGATTTTAGTCTTGGATTCACTGAGCTTCCTGTTGGAGGGAATGTTCCGTCTCCACTGGGTCTGGAGCACTGAGGATCTAGATTCAGACATGGTCTGTGTGCACACAATGGATAGAGTCTGAGTTGGATCTGGATAAGAGGGCGAAGGGGATAACTGGCCCAATCTTTCCTGTAGGTTTGCTCAATGCCACCTATGGCCGGGGCTGGATAGACCACCGAAGGCTGGCCGTGAACAGCTTCCGCTCTTTTGGCTCTGGTCAGAAATCCTTTGAATCCAAAATCACCAAAGAAGCCAAGTGCTTCATTGATGCTGTTGACACATATAAAGGGAAACCCTTTGACCCTAAGCAGTTGATAACAAACGCTGTTTCAAACATCACCAACATGATTATTTTTGGACAACGTTTTTCCTATGAAGACACAGAATTTCAGCACATGATTGATATCTTTAGTGAGAATGTGGAGTTGGCTGCCAGTGCCTCTGTCTTCTTGTATAATTCTTTCCCCTGGATTGGCATCTTCCCCTTTGGGAAACACCAACAACTTTTTAAGAATGCAGCTGTGGTCTACGATTTCCTCTCCAGAATTATCGAAAAGGTGTCTGCCAATAGGAAACCACAGTCACCTCAGCATTTTGTAGATGCATATTTAGATGAGATGGATAAAGGGAGAAATGACCCAGGCTCCACATATTCTAAGGAAAACCTGATTTTCTCTGTGGGGGAGCTCATCATCGCTGGAACAGAAACCACCACCAATGTACTAAGATGGGCAGTTCTTTTTATGGGCCTTTATCCTAACATTCAAGGTGAGAAATCTCTTTGAACTTTGGGACCACTTTTATGGAGGCAGGAGTGGAGGAGAGCTCTTCTGCCAAGGAAAGGGCACTTGATTTGGACTCACATGCTTACTACCTCCCTGTGTGACCTTGGGTGAGTCATTTAATCTCTTTGGACCCATTTCCTCAACTGTCAAATGAGGGAGTTGGAATAGACAGTTTCTGAGGCCCCTTTCATGTCTAACCCTTCAATCTGTGATCCGCATTCTGAGCTGTTTCTCTAAGTAAAGACTAAATTCGGTCCTAACTGAGGAAGACACACAGTATGATATTCTTTTTTCTCCCAGAATATAACATTTACCCTTCAGGATCTGTTCCTGTTCTAAAATTTAACAAAGTTTTATTTGTGTGTACCAGACTTTACTAGGGAAAATGGTTGCCCCGGGATAGAGCACTGGCTGTGGAGTCAGGAAGACCCAATTTCCAATCCAGACTCGGACCAAACACTTGACAGTTACTAGTTGTGTGACCCTGGGCAAGTCACTTAACCCCAATTAGGAAGAAAGAGAGAGAGAGAAAGAAAGAAAGATGGCTGCCCAGGATACCACCTGGGAGCGCTGTCAGTTCTAAGGAGTACATTTTAATTGTGCTTATTGTCAGCATGACTGTTGCAGCTGGAGATCAAATCTGTTCCAATATCCCTTTTTAATAGATAGGGGGGGAAAAGGGAGAAGAATCTATCTGGGAGCATCAGCCTGAAATCTACTTAATTAGAATTTTCTCAGGGCTGTCCGGTGGTATCTTCAATCTCAGGTTACAAAGGGCTTCATATGATGTAAAAATTAATGACTTTAATAATTGCCTAATAAGTTGCACCCTTTTTTTCTACAGGGCAAGTTCACAAAGAGATTGATTTAGTTGTGGGTCCCAATAGGACGCCTTCTTTGGAGGACAAATCCCAGATGCCCTTTACTGAGGCAGTTTTGCATGAAGTTTTGCGGTTCTGTAATGTAGTCCCACTGGGTATTTTCCATGCAACTTCTCAAGATACGGTTGTACATGGTTATTCTATTCCTCGGGGAACCACTGTCATTACAAATCTTTATTCCGTTCACTTTGACAAAAAGTACTGGAAAGACCCAGAAGTATTTTATCCAGAGCGATTTCTAGACAGCCACGGACAGTTTGTTAAGAAAGAAGCCCTGATTCCTTTCTCACTAGGTAAGGTCTGCCTGGGTGTGAGGATCTCTGGGACCCTTAGCTGGCCTGTAGCAAGAAGCTTCACTGCTGACTTTCCCCACGAAAAAGCCACACCCAGCCGCTTCCTGGGAGAGGGTCTTTGTGAATGGCCAAGAAGCTGGCCAGAGTAATGATAAACTTAATCATTTTAAAAATGTAATTAAGCTGGTTTTCAGAACACACATGACCATACTCCTCCTTCCCTCACAGTTACTGTAAAGAAAGCTTTGTTAGTCTCTAATGCACTCAAGAAATTGGTACTGTCATATTAATGGTGGTAAATGTTGTTCTTAGTAATCCAGTCACATCTTCATCATCGCTGGCATTTATAGAGCACTTTAAGGTTTATAAATCACTTTACAAACATCTCATTTTGTTCTCACAACAACCCTGGGAGACAGGCATTATTATTATCGTCACCCCCATCTTACAGATGTAAAAACTGAGATGGAGAATAAAGTGACAGCTAGTAAGTGCCTGAGGCAGGATTTGAACTCAGATCTCCCTGGTCCCAGCTGCAGAGCAGCCCAAGTAAGAACTTCGAGGACTGCGGAGATCATCAATCAATCAATAAACTTTTGTTAAGTTCCTTTATGCATCAGGCATTGTGCTACGCACTGGGGGTGCAAAAAGCGGCAAAAGACAATCCTTAGGGAGCTTACAGTCTGATGGGTGAGACAACACATAGACCCGCACACACGCACATACACATGCGTGTGCACGTGGAGCAAGCTACATAAAGGATAAATAGGAAATAACAGACAGAAGGCACTGGAATTAAAAGGGACTGGGAACAGCTTCCTGTAAAAAGTAGGATTTTAGCTGGGACTTACTTAAAGGAAGCCAGAGAAGTTAACAGTCAGAGATTAGGAGGAAGACCATTCCAGGTAGGGGGGAAAGCCAGAGAGAGGGCACATCTTGTTCATGAAACAGTAAGTGGCCAGTGCCACTGGATGGAAGAGTACAGGATGAGGAGGAAGGTGTAGGAAGACTGGAAAAGTTGGAGGGGACTAGGTTATGAAGGGCTCTGAACACCAAAAGGAGCATTTCGTATTCGGTCTGGGAGATGACAGGGAGCCAGTGGACCTTACTGAACGGGGGGGTGACACGGCCAGACTAGACTGTAGATGGATTGGAGAGAGTTGAGGCAGCAGATCCAGCAGCAGGTTGCTGCAGTAGGTCAGCTGTGAGGTGTGGGGGCGGTGTCAGAGGAGAGGAGGAGCAGAGATTCAAGAGATTCTACAAAGGTGAGATTGACAAGCCTGACAAGGATGACTCCTAGGGTGTGAGCCTGAGGGACTGGGAGGATGGTGTTGCCTCTGTAGTAATAAGAAAGACAGAAGGGACGAAGGGCTGGGCGGGAAATAATGAGTTCAGTTTTAGGTATATTGAGTTTAAGACATCTACTGGCCATCCGGTTCGAGATGTCTGAAAGGCGGTTGGAGATACAAGATTAGAGGTCAGCAGAAAGACTGGGGCAGGAAAGGGAGATTTGAGAATCGTCAGCATAGAGATGATAATTAAATCCATGGGAGCTGGCGAAGTCACCAAGCTAAGTAGTATGAAGAGAAAAGAGAAGGGGATCCAGGACAGAGCTCTGAGGGACACACCCGTGCTTAGAGGGTGTGAGCTGAAGGAGGATCCAGCAAAGGAAACATAGCAGGAGTGGTCAGACAGGTAGGAAGAGAATCAGGAGAGAGGGGTGTCCTGAAAACCTAGAGAGAAGAGAGGATCAAGGACAAGAGGGTGATCAACAGTGTTGGGTCAAGAAGAAAGAGGACTGATCAAAGATCATCGTTTAACAATTAGGGAAACTGAGTCCCAGAGACGGCAAGACCTACCCAAGGTCACACAATAAATGGGCAGCAGAATTAGACTCCCATCCTACATTCTCTTCACCATGTCACCTGAACTAGCTTCACTGCTAGAAAACAAATGAGCGATAAATTATAGCCTTATGATCTGTTTAAAGGGATTGTCCATTTGGTCCTTGACATGGAAATAGGTTTATCTTTTATCACAGAACAAACACAGCCCAGAGGAGATGCCCTGTGATGGAGCAGCTCTGGAGTGTGCTGCCACCCAATAAAACAGAAAGCCCTGACCCAGGGCTTTCTCTTGCTGCTTCTGTGCTCTGGGCAGGCTGCACTAAGAAGTATCTGCAATCCTGCAGTCAACATTCAGCACCTCTAAGGACCCCGAGCAGTGAGCTTAAAGGTCTAGCCACGGTATCTGTGCCACTGTTGCCAAAGTACCTTTCTTCCTTTAATAGCTGGGCCTGGCACAGAGTAGGTGCTCAATAAATGTTAACTGATTAATTGGGATCACTGAATTCTTTGTCCCAACACTTCCAGATGAATAACATGTGTTTGGGGGGGGGAGTGGGAAAAAGGCATCAATTGTTTGATCTTGGGGAAAGATTGATTTTTTTTCTCCCCTTCTATTTAGGAAGAAGACATTGTCTTGGAGAACAGCTGGCTAGGATGGAGATGTTTTTGTTTTTTACATCATTGCTTCAGCGATTCCATTTGCATTTTCCACCTGAGGTAGTTACAAATCTCAAACCCAAATTAGGCATGACATTGCAGCCACTACCGTATCTCCTCTGTGCAGAAAGACGGTAGCCAAAGGACAGCTGTTATGAGGACTCGTATATTCAGACCATGAAGGATTCTGCTTCCTGCTTAAAATTTCAGCAATGGTCCTATTATCATAACTTTATTTGAAACTATTTTCAAAAGTCTAAATGGAGAGATGCAAGTGTAAATGCAAGAGCATGGTTTTCCAAATATACGGTTGTACCCCAAAGCCCTCCTTTCAATCTAGATTCCTGATCTTCTGGGAACTTCCATCCTCTGCCCTCTCTCTTCAGGAGCAACGTTAGAGAATAAATAAATAATGGGGAAAAAAGATTCTGAAGGGCCTGTTTGGTGGGGAGTGGGATGTGGTTCCTTCAGCAAATCCTGGCCTTTCTCTTTCCTGGCTTGAAGGTCAGGCCCTCGTCCAGCTAAGGCTGTTCTTTGCCTCCAAACTGCAACAGTTAGGTTAATGTTAAATAACGACACCTCTGTTCATGAAATAAAAGAATGATTTGTCTCTTAGGATTCCCTTGTTCGCACAGGCACTTTTCTGCCTAGTGTTCTCATTCATCAGTTGTTTACAACCATCAGTGGTAACAATTATAGCATTTGTGAGAATACTCTGCCCTCTGGAGAAAACTCATCAGTACTCTTGGTTATGTGGCATCCTGTAAGACGTCAGTAGACTTTAAAACTACCTGTTTTGGTGACTGTAGACAAAGCTTCATGTGGTCCCAGTGAAGGAGATAAGGAAAAGCATCTTTCTCCTAACAGACAGCAAGGAAAAAGTCCATCCGTTTCAGTGGCCAGAGGGGAGGGCCTGTTTTGTGGAACTGGTGGACATCCTCCCTTGAGCAGGGCATGCCTCATAGATTGAGTGTTGGAAGGGACCTCAGAGGTCAGCTGGTTCGACTTTTTCTTTTACAAATGAGATAAACCCAGGCACTCTGAATACAAATTCAGTGCCCTTCCCACACTAGGGAATGGAAAGAAGGCAGAGGCCATCAGAGCAGTTTCCTCCCCTCTTATCAGCATGTCATTGGAAGAAACAAACTTGGTCCTTCTTCCCCTCCCTAACACCCCCCAGTGGACTTGCCTCAAAGCCATAACCTAGGCACGAAGGAACACCTCCGGTCTAAAGCACAGGGGTGGTCCTGCTCAAGTTGCTGGGCCTGAGTCTTCCTTGTCTTGAGTACATTTATGCAAAGCCCTTTCCCCAAAGTGGGACAGATGAAAGGGCCCCAGGAACAAACTCTGGAAATCACAATAGGTGTGGTCACTGAGTGGTCAAGTTTTAGGGGAAGACAACTTGGCTGCTGAACCCCAAGTATGAGAAGGTAGAAATGTTTGACATCAAGCTGCATGAAGCTCATTCATACACTAAGCCCTGGAGCTAGACACAGCTGCTGTCCAGGAGAGCTATGCCCATTTAAAGTCTCTCAACAGGAGGGGCTGTGGTCAGGACGGCTGGCACAATCAACAACCAGCAGGCCATGGGACTACACCTCCCACTCTGATCACCACCAAAACGCTTTCAGTTCAAGCCAATGAGAGATGCCCATGTTTACATGGATGATGCTAAGCTCCAACATGTAAACTTTCAGATGTAAGTAAGAGGGGATGATTATATTGATACAAAATTTCTTGGTCTTGTTGCTTTCGTGGTTGGTCAGTGTCTTCAAGTACAAACTGACCGTTAACATTCCCAGTGGTCAAGGAAATTGTTAGCTCCTATCATTTGGACCCCATGTCTCAGTTTTTAACGCCTTGGTCTCACTGTAGTTTCTGTTGATGGTGACCTCCGGGGTCGGCAAGAATTTTGTTGCCCTTTGAACTGCAGCTTTTGGGTGAAGATATTAGTAGCTAATCGCTAATTAGTAGCTAACTTCAACGTGAGGGGAAAATGTGTCCTAGCTGCTGAAAATACATGCAGTTTTAGATGACTTGAATGAGACGTCTTTACTGTCCAAAAAGAGAAAGGTTGTCTCTCTGCCTTCAGCTGGAGTTCAGATCGTTTAGAAGCTCAGTTAGAAGAGGGTCATGGGCTGAAGTAGGCCAGCAGCAAAGGGGAGATGAGGTGAAGACTGATTAAAGGCAGAGTCCAATGCTGAATTAGCAATGAGAGCGTTCTGAAAGCAGAAGGGGCAGTCTTGGAAGAAGGGGTTGGCTCTTCATCCACTGGTCAGGGAGTTAGATAAGTTCTCTGATTCAAAGATGGTCCCAAATTATGTTAGTGAGCCTTCATGTATAACACTGTATTTACACACACACACACACACACACACACGTGTATATGTAGATACCTGTCGAATGAGCCAATGAATACACTAAGAAGTCTCCATTCTTAGGCAATGTATGGACTCAACAGCATGCAAACATTTGCTTTCTAGTGAAGGTCATTTGCTATAAGTACGTGAGAGACTGAGGTCAGTCTGAGGTTCAGGAGAACCAAAGAGAGAAGCAGGGCTTGAGCCCTGGTCTGGCGAGGGCAGTCTCAGTTTTTTAATCAGTTCTTGTTAGGCAGATGGCAGGTTATCTGATCTGCGTGCAGCAGCAGACAAACCATGGTCTGTAGAAGGGATTCAGACTGCAGAACAGGTTTGGTCTAGACTAACTCAAAGCCTTCCCTCAGCTTCTAGGATTCTGATTTTGTATTTAATTTATTAATTCCACTATATTAGCTTAGAGCAGCTATGGCGATTCACAAAGTAATATGCTAGACTTCCCTGGATGAGCAGAGGGCCAAGACCCTTTGAGAAAGGTACCCAACGAGACATTAGCATGGACCCACACCCTCCCCCCTACACAGCAGAAAATGAAGTTACACTGGGGGACAATTAGTAGCTTTAAAATATTTAATATACCATACCAGTTCCTTATGATTACGGAAGTAACAAATTGGACAAAAATACTTCGTAAAGTTTCTTCGGGCTGAAGTCACCTGTTTTTAAGCCATAATCAAGGAACAAAAAGTTGAAAAGCTCTAATGTTGAAAAATCAACAGCCAATTGTCAAATTATTCCATTATTTTAAAATAAATTCCAATAACTGAATATTCTAAAAGAATAAAAAGAATAACACGCTTCTATTGAGAAGCTAAATGAAAGCTGTACATTAAATGCCCCCTGCCTCCCCTTCAAAATCTTAACCGAAAAGGGCCCTGTGAGTGCCTGCTTTGTCCTGGCAGAGAAGTGTGACGTGCAATGGTGCTCCTCTGAGGCTGGCTTCTAGTGAAAAACTCAACACACAAAAGGCAAACCAGTAAGCTGGGTGAACACATCTAAATGGTGGAGAGGGTGTGACAGACAGTGAAAACCCTGGGCATTACAAATGAGGTCACCATGCTGGGAGCAGGAGGCTCAGGTGTGACCACCCCACCAAAGTGTCTTTTGCAGATGGCGATGCACATTCCAGTCGGATGGGGTGACAGCTGTGCATCTCCAAGTCACATCAGCCTTGCAAAGAGAATACCTACTTTAACCTCCAAGAGACCAGAGCGCTTTCCCAGCACAGCCAGATGCCTCTAGTCTAGACTGAGCTCTGTCAGTGATTATTTCACAGCATCAGTCTGCATGGGCTGCTCTCAGTGCTCTCCCTGCACACTCCACACAAAATCACACCATGTGCGACCATCCTAGCTCACAAGTGCTGTAGAAAAGCTGCACATGCATGTGTTCTGCAACCATTTTCGCCACTGTCATCTTTTAGGAAGTAAGATGGGCAGCAAAAATAATTTTAGGCAGCAAGAGAAAGACAGGTGAGGTGTGTGTGGTAATCCTGAAACTAAACCAACAACTGGGCAATAGGAATAAATACACAGTAGTCACCTTAGGCTTAACCTCTTCTTACATGGCCCAGAATGCACCTGGGGCAGAGGGACGTGGGTGTGTCAGTGCCACTGACCAGGGGAACTCTGACTCTGAAGATAGCCGTTCCAATTCTGTATTTACTGCATGCAAAAACATGGAGTATTTTTCCTTTGGCTGCTGATGACATTTTTGTAGGAATGGTTTGCATTATATTCTGCTGTAAGGATCAGAGGGGTTTCAATTCAACAAAAAGAACGAGGAAGAGATAGTTTCCCTTTTTTGGCTTTGCTCTGTCTCAAAACATATGTATGCAGAAGGAATAACACTCCTAAGGTTATAGCGCAGGCTCAACAGTGGGATGGGATTGGAGTTTGATGGGTTTAGTGGGATATGCTTTAAAAATATTCATCCTGAGTAAGAGTGAAAAAATGTAGCAGTACTGAGTTTAAAAAAATCTCTTTAAAGATTAAAAATTCTACCACAGAGCATCAAGGCTTAAGTTTAAAAGACAAAATCTGATGCTCACTACAAACCCGAATCCTTTCAGTAAAACTGCAACAACGATGTATGACAGTCAGAGACATCAGAAATCGATGCACCTTGGTCTACCTGAATAGTTTTTAAAAATCAGAATACAATGTGAATATCTCACAGCCCTCAAATGGAGAAACTGAGGTGGGAGGGCAACACGGAACACACCATGGAGACCCTCCCACTGGCTATACTGCAAACACCATCTTCATCATTAGACACGAAGAGATATCAGGATGTAAGAACAGAATAGAGTGCATCCAGTCTTGCACAAACCAAAAGTCCTGCCTCCATAGCAACTGAAGAGTTCCTTCTCAACTTGAGGGAACTACGTGGAAAGGACAAGCTCTGGATTCAGCAAAGTAGCCTTTGAACCAAAAGATCTGTCCACAAAGTAGGGCTTCCAGAGACTTTACAATCATGAGATTTACGAAGGCTTAAACCCAGCTTTCTGTTCCATGCAGTCAAATGCACGAGAACGGCGACACGGCTAGGGCAGCGAGGATCCTATCACAGTATGGAGGCCATCCCACCTCCCACAAGATGGGTTGGCACAGTGAAGAAACTGAGGCTAGGGTGTAGAGTCCTCTTCAAGCATAGCTCCTTCACCCATTCTCCCAAGGGAAGGTAATAACGGTACCCCCTTCTTCTCAACCTCAGCATAGTGGAGGTGATGCCGATGGCAATGATGAACAGGAAGGTGGCGGTGCTGATAGTGGCGGCGGCATTTCTCCTTCACCTGCTTCCTCCATGACTTAGAGTTCTTTGGTTGGAGATGGAGGTGGACTGTGGCCCTCCGCACCCGCCTTGACATCTGCAGCAGAGTCCTCACTGCCTCTCTCAACCAGCCTCGTCCACAGCTGATGATTTTCATTCAGATGCTGCGTTAGCTGGCAAAACTTGCGGTGCTTCACCTTTTTTTTTCGTTGTGGCTCTGTAAAAATCAAAATACAGCTTTAAAATCTTATCATAATGACAAAGGTTTGTCTATGACTCACACACAAACACAAGAGCCCGGCAACCTAGAATAACTTTCTAAAAGCTACATTGGTGACGCCCTGCACACACTGGCACAACAAGGGTGGCACCTTACTTGGCCAAGCACTAGGCAGGGAAGCAGCAGGAGCCATAGTAGCAGTAGCAGTCGTGTGAGCTCCATCTTGTTCCAACTGCAGTTCTTCACAAAACTCCTCACTCGCAGCATCTTCACACTCTTCCTCGACCCACAGGCCAGGAAGCAAACCTGCTGCGTTGTAGGAATTACACAGGGGCCCCACTATGTGAGAGATAAAAGATTCCTGCAGCTTTGCAAGCTGTGGACAGTGGCGATCCATGAAGGGACTGACAGGCAGCCCAAGACTGGCCTCTTCATCTCCCTGAATAGTTTAAGAAACAAACAGAAGGTGCATTTTTATATACTTCCAGGGTTCAAAGCACACTACCGAGCTCCCTCCCTTACCCTAAATCCCAGTCTCCAGTATGGCACAAGAGAATTTTCATATAAGTTATCACTGTCTTTCAAAAGATTCACGTGGAGGTTGGTTACTTATCATCAGTGTGATGGTCTCCATTTAATGACAGTGATGGAGTCGTGAGATCAAATGAGTGTTGTTTGTCAGCTGCTGCTTTCTCTGTTTTTGAGGCCAACCTAATGACATTTCATCCTCTTTAATGACTGTGCTGGCTGGCATCCTGAGAAGTCTGCTGCAGCTGTGACTCTGAGTGCACATAAGCACCTGCAGGCTTTAGAAAGCACTGAGCACATGAGCAAAACTCCAGCCTTGCTTTTCAGTTGGTTCCTCAGTTTTCAGCAGTTGTTCCCTGCCCTTATTCTCCTAAAGGATTTTACGTCCATTCAACAGTGACACAGCACCAAAAAAAGAGACTGCTTCTTCATGGAGAATCAGCAATACTGCCAACATCCCTCTCCCCCCATCCCCCTAAAAGGTCAAGTACGTGAGTAGTGAGGGGAAGCAGAGAACTCCCTCCCTTCTCAAGCCCGCCTGCTCTCAGAGGCTGGCAGCTAATGACAATATGTATGCCTTGCCCTCGCCCACACAGGTTTTAGGCCCTGGTGATGGTGGCAGTACAGGGCGGTCTGCACCAGCTCTTCTGACAGGCAATTTGGGATGCTGCCCATTTTGGGGTCATCTTCCCCTGACTTTAAGAAGGTGCTTTGTGGAGCACAGGAAGTTTGTTTTTCACAACATTAAGACTTTAGTATTTATATTTTCATTCAAAGACAAACAATATTTTCAAAAAAGAAAAAGAGAACAATTATTTGTAAACACTTGAATACCTCGCCAAATTTTTTTCCCTATGCTTAGAAAATTTGGGGCTGACAAGACTGTTCTGTTGGTCTCTAGAAGAGGAGTTAGGATAAATAGACGTTATAAAAAAGGCAGTTTTCAGCGATATGTAAAGAAGCACTTTCTAATAATGGAAGTTATCCCATAGTCTGCTTCACAAGGAAGTGAACTCCCTATCCCTGGAGGTCTTCAAGTAGAAGCTAAATGGATGTAGGACAGTATGGGATGTTTAGGATGTATAGGATATAAAAAGGATTCCTATTTAAGTAAACTGTGTAATAGGTGACCTCTGAGGGTACCATTCAAGAATAAGATTACAGCATTTTATGAAAATATACTGGCAAGTTTACGAAGCACAAGATAAACATCCTATACCATACAACAGAGAGGCCCTGTCAGAGGCAGCACAAAGCGGAGAGTGGGCACTGACCTAACAGAACTCTCAGGAGAGCATCAAAGAGGGCAGAGCAGAAAGGAGGAAGGTGAGGACAAAACCATGAGAGTCTTTAAGTAAAATGTAATCCCAGAGCAATGACTCCTTCACAGAACAGGACAGAATAAAGTCATGTTACATACATATGAGGAAAGACAGAAAGTGACTTGGTCAAAGTCAAAATTGGAGCAAGAGCCCAGACTTGAACTTGGCCAAGGACTTTGACATCCTTCCATTGACCCAACTAAACAGAGTAATACCATTATCTCCATTTGACCAAAGCTTGAGGCCTGGGAAGGGCTGTGAGTCTCCCAAGATCACACAATTATTTTATGGCAGATAAGTACTTCAGTGCTTCTTATCTATTCCCAATTCTAACCACGAGAACTGGGCCAACTCCCTCATTTTACAGATGGGAAGCTGAGGCCCAGAAAGGTGTTGTAACCAGGATCCAAGCCAGTGTTCTTTCCACTATATCACATTATGATAATGATACTAGAATTAATCCTAAGCCTCATATCATATTGTAATTTATACATCCCTAAAAAGAATTCTACCAGCGTAAGGATTTTTACAAATTTTTAGATATTTTACACAGGCTAGACTGTGTAGTGTAATGTACAGAAATCAGGGGTTAGTCTCCGCAGACACAGTTCAAGTCCTGACTGACATTCTAGCCACAATGGGTAAGTAGTCACTTAACGTCTGGCCCAGGCAGCTAGATCTACAAGTCACGGAGAAGTTGCTAATCTGCTTGAGCTTGGATCCTGCTTATGTCACCACTGTGACCCCTCTCCAGGCCTCACCTTCCCATCTGTAAAATGAGAGAGTTGGCCAGCTCTCCTGGATAGTGTTGGGAACAGATAACGAGAAGGAATGTATCAGATGCTCTGCTCCTATAGGTATCCTGAATCCTAGATCATTCCACTAGGGATGATGAAGAGAGGAATATTTAGGAGATTTTCTGAAGGAAGAAGTAGTAGGAATTCTGTGGAATGAAGAACAGTGACTAATTAAAATCTTCAAGAGGGCTCTGCTCAAGTGACAACTCTGTAGCTAAGCCTGCTTGGAAGAGAAAACCCATCCACGTCAAAAGAAAACCAACACGCATGGTTTTTCTTTGCCCTGCTTGAACTGGTAATGGTCCAGAGTATCCTGGGGACAAAAGGCAAGGCCAGAATGGGATGGAGGGTAAGATTCACTTTAGAGCACTTTATATGCAATCTGATTATTTCTCTGTAAGCTAGCAACTGTATGTAAGGAGAAAACGCTGAATGCCCAACAGGGAAAAGCATCCTCATATTTTGTTTTAAAAACAGAATTATAGAAAGAGTTACTATCTTTGCTTAAACACCGAGTGAAACCTAGTGACAAAGTCAACAAAAGTAGGATTATCCAAGTAAGGCTGTCCCCAGAAAAGTCTAGTGTTTATGTTCATGGTACAAGCACTACGATTATGGACACAGAATAAAATATACCTCGGATAGGCTTTGAAAAGATCACTTTTAGGCATTTTAAATACTTTAGAGCTAACAATTATAAACTCTCATGTCCCCACCATGCAGGGCAGCTTAAGAGCTCGGGATATGCAGCCTGGCACCTCAGTGCCGTATGAGTATTCATGCGTGAGTAATTCAGTCAGTCGATGCTCATTAAGCACCTACCACATTCTTTACACTGAACAAAAGCAAACATGCAATCACTCACTCCACTGATGATAATTAGTTCTGAAGTTAAAAGTGATTATCTACTGAAAGACCTGAATGTCATCTTCCAGAGATTATCCATTGAGCTAATAAGTTTATATTCAACCCAGGATAACTTGGCAAAGATCTTCAAGTACATTCACAGCCAAATTCAATAATGAGTTATCTGAACCTGAAAATCAGATGTTAGCACAATTATAGTACACTGTGTGTGGCCTTTGCCAAACGCAGTCAACAATTCAGTCAACAAGTATTTATTAAGTACCTACTGTGTTCCAGGTACCAAGAAAGGCAGAAGAGAGCCCAGCTCTCAAGGAGCTCCCAGTCTAACGGGGGAGACAACGCGGACGTGACTAAGCACAAGCTAGATCCAGACAAAACAGACTGGAGAGAATCAAGAGAACAAAGGCACCAGCGTCATGGGGGACCAGGAAAGGCTTCTTGCAGAAGGCGGGGTTTTTGCTGGGACTTGAAGGAAGCCAGGAGATGAAGATGACAATGGGGAGAGCTCCACGCATGAAAGGCAGCCTGTGAAAATGCTTGGAGTTGGGAGGAGGAGACTCTTACTGGAGTAATAGTGAGCAGGCCAATGCCACTGTCCATGGTCACTGAGTGTGATCACACTCTGATCACAAAGCAGGCAGAGATAAGGAATGAAACTACCGGAAAGGCAGGAAGGGACCAAGTTATGAAGGGCTCTGAACGCTAAAGAGAAAGTACTGAATGGGGGATGGGAGTCTGTGACGCATCAGACCTGTGCTTTAAGATCTAGTGGAGAATAGACTGGAGGTTGGGGAGAGAGAACCAAGTCATGGAGAGCAACCAGAAATTCAGTAGAGAGCATTACAACTGAAATAGTCCTGTTAACAAAAGGATTGTAGAGTTAGGTATTTTCAAACCTAGAAATAAAATTGTGTTCATGATTGTCTGTGGCTTATGGTTGAGGTGGGTGCCCTGGGTCAACTGGCTTTGTTCTGTCCACCTGCCACAGATTCGAGATGTAACTATCTTGCAAATGCATGCTTTTGGTCACCATGTGCCCCCTATCACCATCACTCGGATCCTAACTCCAGCCATCTGGTGTCCTCTATATAGCAGAAACAGCATTCTGGAGGGAAGAGGCTTTTTTATCTTACTGTCCTTGCTTGATGCTGGGCCTGATTCTGGGCCCAGTGGCCTTCGACCAAGAGCTGGCTAGCAAGCAAAGAACTCTCTAGACTCCTGCCTCATATTCAGTGGTCTCGCGCCCTTCTCTCCTTTCCCAGGAGTCAGAAGTGGAGGCACCAGGGAAGCCAGCTGTGTATGCAGCAGAGACAGGGTTTTTAAAGGTGAAACTTTAGAAGACAAAAAACAGAAAGATAAATGACGACAGAATAAGAAAGTAGGCAGCCTGGTGTAGCATTAATTTGGTGACAATGAACAAGCCCTACCCCTCTCTGGGCTTCCGTTTCCTCAACTATAAATAAGGGGGTTGGACTTCATGACACTAAAGTCCTTGCCAGCTCTAAATCTGCGATCCTATGCTCTTAGAACTATAAAAGAAGAAAAAAGCAACATGTCCTGCAAAGCCCCGTGATCTGCTCCCCACTCCAGTCCTCTTAGCTGTTCATCTCCCAATGCAATAAGCTGGAGGGAATGCTGGGATTCTAGTCACAGGGCCTGGGTCTCACTTGTAGTTTTTCCACTTATTAGCTGGGTTATTTTATGTAAAGTGATTTAATCTCAGTTTTCCCATCTGGAAAAGGTGTGTGTGGTGGGGGGGGCACTAAATGATCTCTAATGAACTATAAAAACCTATTTCGGAGCACAGTCTCTGACCACCCCTGTACTCTGTGTTCCCCCTTCTCCTGGCCTGGGCCCCCCAGGACTCCTGACTGCTCACATGGCTTGGATGAGATGGGGGGCACTGACTATTCCTTCTAGGAAGATGAGAGACCCCCAGGAACAGTTCCCTGATCTCCTGCTGCTGCCCAAGGACCCTGTGCACTCTGCCAGGTGTTGTGCCCTTGGGCTTTCCAGGCCTTCACATACACCCTGAGCCTGAATGGGCTGCCCCCCTGCCCCAAGTAAGAGTGGGATCTCCCTGAAAGGAGGGGCAATCTCTCCTTTTCTATCTGTACGCCCAACCCCTTAGGACGCTGCTCAGCACACAGAGCATGCATGCTTTAAAAATGCTTTCTTACTCATTCATTTCTATAAGCTAGACTCGCCTCACCTCCGGACAGGACCAGACTCAAACTAATCTTCAGGAATGGGAACTGATTCTTGTTCTCACTTCTGCTGGTAAAAGCCAAATGGGCTTGGAAAGGAGAATGGGAAGCTAAGGCTTCCCTTTCCTTGCCCAGGCCCAACCACCCAACACGACATCTTTTCTGAAGAAGCATGTGACGGGGGCAGCTCCTTTTCCAGGCACCCCTATGAAATCTGGACTTACCTGGTCATAAAACTCACTGACAATACCTTCTGTCCACCTCACATGTAAGTCTTGAGCTTTTGCTGGACCATTTATATCTGCCAATTTAATGCACACCTGACACACGAGGAGCCGGTCATCTTCACTATTCCACTGTATGCCAGGACTGTTCACATCATTGGCCTATTTGAGGAAGAGGAGGATTCTGTGAGCTTCGCACACCACTGTTCCCCACGAAGCCTGGCTGTGAGTCTTGCCCAAATGAGAAATTTCCTTAAGTTCTTAACAACCACCCGTGCCAAGACCTCTAAGGCTCCAACTGTTCTCTAAGGTGATGTGACCATTTCTGTCCTTCAAGAAAGCAAACTTCCCCAAGTGGTTTTGTCAAGCTAAAGGGTTCAATAACCACTTTTATCAATAAATAATCATTTGACATGGAATAGGGCCCGGACCTGTGATTTCACTAGCCCTCTACCAAAGCAGAGCAGCACCTTCTTGGCAGGCTGAAGGCCTTGAAGGCTGAATGCTCAGTTAAGTGACTTGCCTAGGACCACACCTCTTTGAAGCCAGGCTGCCTCAGAGACAAGCTCTCTTTCCACAAGACTATGCTTCCTCTCAATTATATTTATAACTGCCAAACATAATGACAGTAGTGGATAAAGTCAGCCTGGGAGGCCAGAAGCCCTAAGTTCCAGGCCCAGCTATAACACTGTGTCAGGCTGATAACCCTGCACAAATCCCTTTCCTTCTCACTACCCCAGGGCCTTGACCTGGGATTCCACCAGAACAGCAACTCCCTGATGAGGATCTTCCAAATACTAGCACAGCTCCGGATGTCCTCAGTGATGCAGGGTCTAGGCCCCAAGAGGTTATCTGTCCAGGGTCACGGCCAGCATATGTCAGAAACTACCACTGACCACCTGGGAAATGCTGGGCAAGTCACTCTTTGGGCTTAGGCCCAGTGAAATAGGAGGTCTGAACTTAATGATCACTAACATCCCTTCTGCCACTACTGAGATTCTATGGTTCTAAGTTTTTTATATCATTTATAAGATTAGTTAAAATTAATTTTTAAAAAACATCAGATACAAAAGAATAATGGCAGGATGGCAACTAGTCCTTGGACCATTTCTATCTGAATACTAACAAAAAGCTGAGAAAAATGAGATGACTACAAAAAAATAAGACCACTCATGGTAATTTAACCCCACAGCTGACTACATGGGAAAGCTTACTCTCTTGATTTTGTAACGATGATAAGGCAGCATAGGAATCAAGGGAGTCTTCCTTAAAATGATAAGTAGCATCTACCTAAAACCATCAGCAAGCATTATCTATAATGGAGATAAGCTAGAAGCATTTCCAGTGAGACTGGGGGTGAAACAAGGATGTCTATTATCACCACTGTTATTCAAGACAGTCCTGGAAATGTTAGCTTTAGCAATAAGAGAAGAAAAAGAAATTGAAGGAGTTAGAACAGGCAAAGAAGAAACAAAGCTATCACTTTTTACAGACGATATGATGGTATACTTACAGAATCCTAGAGAATCAAGTAAAAAATTATTTGAAATAATAAGCAACTTTAGCAAAGTTGCAAGATATAAAATAAACCCACATAAATCACTGGCATTTCTATATATTGCAAAGCCCAACAGCAAGAGACAGAAAGAGAAATTCCATTTAAAGTTACTGTAGACATTATAAAATATGGGGGAGTCTACCTGCCAAGACAAACCCAGGAACCATGTGAACACAATTACAAAACACTTTTCACACAAATAAAGTGAGATCTAAATAACTGGAAAATATCAGTTGCCCATGGGTGGGCTGAGCTAACATAATAAAAATGACAATTCTACCTAAATTAATTTACTTATTCAGCACCACACCAAACTACCAAAAATTATTTTACAGAGCTAGAAAAAACAATAACAAAATTCATATGGAAAAACAAAAGGTCTAGAATATCAAGGGAACTAATGAAAGAAATGCAAGGGAAGGTGGCCTAGCTGTTCCAGATCTTAAATTGTATTATAAAGCAACAATCATCAAAACTACTTGGTACTGGCTAAGAAATAGTGGTGGATCAGTGGAACAGCTTAGGTACACAAGACATAGTCGTCAGTGACTATAGTAATCTACTGTTTGATACTCTAGCTTCTGGGGTAAGAACTCACTATTTAACAAAAATTGCTGGGAAAACTGGAAAATAGTACGGCAGAAACTGGGCATAGACCAACATCTTACACTGTATACCAAGATAAAGTCAAAATGGGTATATGACTTAGATATAAAGGCTGATACTACAAGCAAACTAGGAGAGCAAGGAATAGTTTACCTGTCAGATTTATGGAGAATGGAAGAATTTATGACCAAATGAGACAGAGAACATTATGAAATGCAAAATGGACGACTTTGATTACACTAAATTGAAAAGTTTTTGCACACAAAGCCAACGCAACCAAGATTAGAAGGGAAGCAGAATAATGGGAAAGAATTTTTACAACCAGGGTCTCTGATAAGGGCCTCGTTTCTAAAATATATATAGAACTAAGTCTATACAAGTCACTCCCCAACTGATAAATGATCAAAGGATATGAAGAGGCAGTTTTCAGAGGAAGAAATTAAAGCTATCTATAGTCACATGAAAAAATCTAAATCACTATTGATTAGAGAAATGCAAATCAAAATGACTCTCAAGTACCACATCACACCTATCAGATTGGCCAACATGACAAAACAGGACAATGAGAAATGTTGGAGAAGATGTGGGAAAACTGGAACACTAATGCATTGTTGGTGGAGTTGTGAACTAATCCTGGAGAGCAATTTGGAACTATGCCCAAAGGGTTATAAAACTGTGCATACTCTTTGACCCAGCAACAGCACTTCTAGGTCTGTATCCCAAAGAGATCATACAAACACATACAAAAAATATTTATAGCAGCTCTTTTTCGCAATGGCCAAGAACTGGAAATTGAGGGGATGCCCGTCAACTGGGGAATGGCTGAACAAGTTGTGGTATATGAATGTAATGGAATACTATTGTTCTATAAGAAATGATGAACAGGCTGACTTCAGGAAAACCTGGAAAGACTTACATGAACTAATAATGAGTGAGGCGAGCAGAACCAGAGAACACTGTACACAGCAACGTTGTGCAATGATTAACTGATAAATTTAGCTCTTATCAGCCAAAGCAAGGATCTAAGACAACTCCAAAGGACACATGATAGAAAATGCTACCCACATCCAGAAAAAGAGCTACTAAGTCTGAATGCAGATCAAAGCACACTATTTTCTCTCTTTTTTTTTGTTTCTTCTTTCTTGTGGTTTCTCCCATTTGTTCTAATTCTTCTTTACAACATGACTAATGTGAAAATATGTTTAATATGAATGTATATGTAGAGCCTACATCAGACTACACGCTGTCTTGGTGGGAAGGGGAAGAGTGGGAGGGGGAATAATTTAGAACTCAAAATCTTATGGAAGTGAATGATGAAAACTAAAAATAAATTAATTTTAAAAAACAATTATAAGGCAGAATGGGATAGTGGAGAGACCATTTGGTTTGGAGTCTGAGGACTTGGAATTCACTTAAACCTGAGCCAACTAGAGGACTCTGGGCAAGTCATTTCATGTCTAATGGCCTCACAGTCTCCAACTATTTAAAAAAAAGGCATTTGAATACCATATGATTCTAATGACCAAGCCTGGCCCCAGAGATGAAATGAGAAAAGGCATGGCCTCCTTTCCTTGGGCAAAGGTGGGCCCAGGCTGTGGTTGTGGACCACTTCATATATGGTTAATGTCTTGGTTAGTTCTACAGGACTGTTTTTTTTCTTTTTCTTTTTAAAATTTTTATTCCCAGGTGTGGTCCTCTGGGTAGAGAAGGAGGAGAGAGATATTTGGAAATGAATGTGATAAAAAAAAGATGTCAACAGATTTTTGTTAAAAAAGAAAAAGGAAACTAAACTGCTTTGTGTACTATCAGATCACAGAAAAGATTCTGAACTAGAAAGGACCGGCTCTAGTCTAGTGTCCTTTTTTCTGTATATGGAGACTCTGAGAAATGGACTGAGAAAAGACCATTCGTAACTTTGAAGACTAGTTTTAGTTGAACAGTATGGTCAGAAACAATAGTAGAGAGGGTTTCAAAGACAAGACAGGCAAGACGAGACAGCTTTCTCAAGGAATTCGGCCACAAAGGGGAGGAGAGATGTAGGACCACTGCTACAGGGGATGGTCAGATCAAGTGAGGGTTTCAACTACTGAGGACACATGACTGTGTTTCTATGTAGCAGGGAAGGAAACAATACACAGGGAGAGAATGAGGGAAGAGTGGGGTCAATATGCTAGAGAAGACGAGAGAAGAGATGGTCAAAGATGAATTGGCCTAGGCAAGGAGAAAGGTCACCTCTTCATCTGAGACAACCGAGAATGCAAATATAGTGAAGGAAGATGTCTGCATGTTAAGTTGGAGGTGAGGAGAAGCTTTCAGTGAATGGCTTCCATTTTTTCAGTTAATTGTCAGTCATGGTCTTCAGCTGACAGGGTAAGGAGGCTTGAAGAGATATGAGGTTTGGACATCCAGTATGGAGAGTGTGAAGTTACTGATTAGGGAGAAGCAGGAGTGACTCAGGAGATAGAGTGCTAGGCCTGGAGTCAGGAAGATTTGAATTCAAATCTGGCCTTAGACACTTACTATCTAACCCTAGACAAGTCATTTAACCTCTGTTTGCCTCAATCGACTGGAGAAAGAAAAGGCAAACCAATCCAGTATCTTTGCCAAGAAAAAACAATAGCCAGTATTGGCATGCTACGCTCACAAAGAATTAGACATGATTCAATGACTGAACAACAGAATGACTGCCTTGCTAGAATGACAACACAGCTGAGATTTTATGACAAATTTGTAGAGAACCAAGTAAGCACAGTCTAATAATTTCCTCCAGTTCTGTTTAGAAGCATATGAATAACAGCAAAGGAAACAGATCATTGTTAGGATCTGACAAGGCATGATCAGTAATAAAAATTATCATTGAGTCTTATAAAAAATTCCCATAAAAGATTTCTAATTTTCTGCATTACACAGAATACAGACACTAATACATTGTTGGCAGAATTCTGAAATGATCTAACCATTGTGAAAAGCAGTTGGTAATTACACTGAAAGAGCAACTCAACTTCCATACCCTTTGACTCTGAGATCCCACTGCTAGGAGGGATCCTCCCAAGGAGGTCAGGGACAGAAAAAAAAGTCCCATATCCAACACAAGATTCAAAGCAGCAGCTTCTGTGGCAGCAAAGTACTGCAAAAATGCAAATGTTCACTGACTGGGAAATGGCTGAACAAACTAGAATATCTGAATGTGAGAGACTATGACTGTGGCATTAGCAACAATAACAAAGTTTCAGAAAAGCATGAAAAAAATCACAGCCAAAAAACACCTATAAAATGCAAATGAACATTAAGAACTAAAAGGATTGAGCTGAGCTTAGAACCAAGTTAAGAAAATCCTTTGAAGGGCAGCAAGGTGGCGCAGTGGATGGAGCACAGGCCCTGAAGTCAGGAGAACCTGAGTTCAAATCCGGCCTCAGACCAAACACTTGACACTTACTAGCTGTGTGACCCTAGGCAAGTCACTTAACCCCCAACTGCCTTAAAAAAAATCCACTGAAGAGGTGAGGGATAGACTATCGACTAGCTTCTGTACTTTCAGATACATGTGGGGCGGTGTTGCTGAACTACTTTTCAGATCTTTGTTATAAGGGATGGCTCACTGGGAAGCAAAGGGGTATGGACTGCTGTAAAAACGAGAGAGACAGACAGACAACTAAGATGCAGACAGACAACTAAGATGCAGACAGAGGACCTCCTCTCCAGTCCAACTTACTTAAACAAATACAACATATTTCTGCCTCTAAGTTTATGTAGTAACCCATGCAACAAACCTTAGTATTAAAATCAGCAAGGAAATCAAAATGCTTTTTGAGATCTGTAGCCAGAATGGCTTCAATCACTAAGTAACGAAAGTGCTTGAACTCTGGTTGATTAAGGTTACTGAGAAAGTTGAAGTCAGGTCGAGAAAGGAACAGGTTCCAGGCAGCAGCAGCATGATGATTTTCCAGGACAGAGCGGTCATTATACAACACAGCCTAAAATGGAATAAGGAAACATGTAAATGGGTATCAGAGCATATTACATTTTAACAAAGCATTTAAAAGACTTTGAAACCAAGAGAAGATAAATGACAGAATGCTATCATCATTTAGAATCAAATAATCTTAGAGCTAGAAAAGAACTCTGAGGTCACACAGCCTAACCTCATCTTCTGGTTAATTATGGGACTATTACCATGTGGCCTGCTACAGAATACCACCTGCAAAAAGCCCACCTGTTCACTTCTATCTGCATCAAGGATTAATGTTTAGATATGTGTAGAGATTATGCTCGTGAAGATTTTGCAAAAATGGAAATATAAGCATAGAGCTCAGGTGTTACTGGTATTTTCTCAATCACTGGGGGAAGGAAGAAGAGAGTAATAACACAAGTGACTATCCTCCAAGGATCTGACTGGTATCTTCCCCCTTTTTTTGGATCTCTTGAGACTCAATACAATAACATACTCAAAACTGAGTCATCTCTGGCACAGACCCCCTCTGGCTACAAATGGATGAATGTGGATGCCCTTCCCACTGTGTGTAATCGTTAGTGCTTTTTCTGCTTCCTCATGTAGCCCCTGGGGATCGTGAGGTGAGAGCCCAAGTGTGGTGGCTCCACCATCAATAATGTAGCCAAGAGTTGTTTACAGTCATTTTAACAGGTCTTTCCATCTTTCCTTTGTTGTCTTTCCAGTTTCATCCTTAAAAGCTCTCATGAAAATTTAGCTTAACAAGGTCTCTCTCATCTATCCGTTTTCTGCTATACCACCTACTTTTTGTTAAGATGTTCACAACCTTCCACCATCTTCTGAAAAATTTCCTTTGTAGATTTAACAGTGTTTTATTTTTACATTCAAGTTGTTTCTGAATATGCCCCCCTTTCCCCTTTCCCTACCCAGAAACCTTCCCTTATAACAAATATTAAAAAGAAAGCAATTCAAAAAAACGGACCAACACAGAGGCTGGTGGCATAACATTTTATAAACAAATTTAGATCCTAAACCAATAATGTGAACTACCATATCTCTCTACTTGGTATAGAAAGGAAGTGTTTACTGGCTAAGATGGTTTCTAGGCTTTTCTAATTTCCTTGTTATGGTGACTGCTCTGTATTATTTAAACTTCTTTAGAAAACAGTGATACTCTACTGTCAATGTTCTTTTATCCATTTCCCATTCTGGAGGCAAAAAACTGAGTGAGATATACTGCCGGCCATATTCCTTCATTTTTATTTGCCTCCTTGATTTTGATCTGTGCCACATGAGGATCACTATGTAAACAGTTGATATGGATTATAAATGAGTCTCACATTGTAATCAATTGTTTCCCATCTATCAAGATAAAATCAACGTTTTTATGTTATTCAGCATCTCCGGACTCTCTTCTTGAATAAAATATTAATGATAAAAAGGCCTCAGTGTAGTCTAAAAGCCTCTGGCCTCTTTGTTTCTCCAGAGACAACTTTTCCCACATTTCCAAGGTGCCCTTATGCCCACTTCTTCGCACTGAAGTCACTACATATTAAAATATGCATTTAAAATATTAGAATATATGTGAATTGAATCTGGAGGATCTTATTGGGATCTTGCCACAATCTCTCTTGCTCCTCATCCTCTACAACAGATATTTGTCTTTTTACATATCATATATTCTGCCATTTAAAACGGTAGAGCCTCATTAAATGTTACTTGTTTTTCTATTTGTATAAAGTCACTCCATTATTTGCCCATCCAAAGGGAGTCTATGAAACATCTTTCGGTTCAGATCCATATTTTTTTTGTCTCCTGCTTTCAAGTACAGAGAGAATGTCAATACAGGTATGACTCAAATTCTGCAGGGGCATGTCAACTTTTTATGCCACTGCACAAGGATCTCATAGTAAGTTAATATTTATAAACAACTTGATTTCTTCCAACAGAAAATAAGCTCCTTGAGGGCAGGGACCATCTTTGTTTTTGTCTTTATATCCCTATCACCTAGCACAGTGCTTCACCTATAGCAGATACCTAACAATAAATGGTTGGTGAAATGAAGTTTCTGGCCCCTTTTCTGTCCCTCCCTCATCACTGCAGAAGTAGAAGTAGAAGGGGAAAGCCCAGCTCTGAGGGTCATTTTGTATTTGCTTCCTTATAAGGTATAAATACAGGAAGAGCAAGAAACTATATGACTGAAGTGTTAAATATGAAATATTACTCTATGCAGACCATCTGAGCGAATGATCATCATCTCTATAAATATCTGTGACAATAAGAAAAAGCCAACAGTTGTTCCTAAGACCTAGAAACATCAGAGAACACAATATGGCTAACGAGTCTATCCCAGTAAAGATGTCCAAGAATAATCTGGGGTAAATGGATGGGCAAAGAGGGGCATAAAAAAATCACAGGATTTAGAAGGGATTTGATAGAGACTCTCATCCAAAATTCTTATTTTATGGATGAGGAAGCTATTGCCCCAAGAAGGAAAGGGATTTTTTGCCCAAGTTCAAAGAGGTAGCTAAGTAGTAAAGCCAGGGCAAAAGATTTGAACAATATTAGGCCTTTTGGATAAAAGGACCTACTGCAAGGAGGGTTTTTTGGAGGAAAAAAATTCTACCCCATAGGCAACAGAAGATGATACAGGCTATATACATCCTTTCCTTACCTATGATGCTCAACATGAGCACAGGAACTTTAAAATGTGTATGTATATGAATGAACAAGTGTCTTTAGGATGTCTGTAGGCTATTCTCACTGAATCCTCTTATTTACCAGACCTAATAAGCTTTTTATAAGAAATTCTGCATCATCTCATGCATCCTAATTGTTCTTTTCTCTGGTCTAGTAGCACTGTCCAGTTTAGGTCACTGTTAACTGGCTACTCCTTCAGGAACTTTTATACAGCATTAATCCCTGAACTTACAGATACTGTGGCAATCTTGAACAAGATTACTAAAGCTTTTGTGATATTTAGCCCAAAGTTCTAGAAAACTATAAAGTCTGAACAGACAGGTAATGCACAAAAGTTGGACTACTATTATGCTTTCCTAAGGTCAGGTCTTTACTATTTGAAGTATTCTGTATTCCTAAAATAGCTGATAGCCTAATATCCACATGTTCATCTAAAATCATATTCCAAATCCAAATATAAATGACAGATCATCTGTTATTTGGAGAATATCTTTAATTCAGTAGGAAGAGTAATTTGAAATGTGTGTGTGTGTGTGTGTGTGTGTGCGCGCATGCGCGCACGCTGACCAAGCACCTGATCTTATTCAGTGATGAGAGCCTGCCACTACTCCCCCAGCAGTGCACTCCACTAAAAAATTGCTAATGACTCTAACCAGGCTGTCGACCTCTAACAATTGGCTTCTCTCTTCTGCTTGTAGCAAAGCGAATCTTCTCAGTTTGGAGGGCATGCGCGCATGCGAGTGTGTGTGTGTGTGTGTGTTTGCATAATACAATGGAAACAACACTGGTCTTGGGGTCAACTGTACTTACACCATCTCACAGGGCTGTTACAAGGAAAGTCCTTTGTAAATTTGAATGTGCTTTGTAAATGGGAGTTATTATGGACACTCAGGGTATGATGGGGAGGAATCTATCAAAGCAACATTTAATTTAAATCTTCCCTTGTTTCTTCCCCTTCAAAGTCCTTCTCCTCAATAACTCTTCTGAAGCTGCTTTCCAGAATTACTCACACACTGAGGATTTGTCTAGACAGTCCAAGAAATTGTAGCAAAGAGAATAAAGCAGACTGAAAAGGTGGTGCAATGGACAGAGTGCCTGGACTGGGGTCAGGAAAATTCATCTTCCTGAGTTCAAATCCAGCCTCAGACACTCATTAGAGCTGGATGACCCTGGGCAAATTACTCAACCTTGCTTGCCTTAGTTTCCTCATCTGTCAAATGAGCTAGAGAAGGAAAATGGCAAAACACTCTAGTATCTTTGCCAAGAAAATCCCAAATGGGGTCATGAAGAGGCAGACACAACTGAAACAACTGAGCAACAACACAAGAGAGGAAGACAAGAAAAACGGCCAGAGCCCCAGAGCTGAGATTCAAAGGCAGGGAGTAAGAGAAAGGGAAGCTGGGGGGAGGGGGGGCAGTATACTGCTCTTCACCACCTGATAAGGAACCTTTGGCCATAATATGTTCCCCCTTTAACATTAACAAGCACTCTGTGTGTCCCCACACTCACGTGCTTGGCACTTAGAGCAGCCTCTGACAGACTGCAACAATAAAGACTTCTCACATTCAATCATCTCCTTCAGAACTGTGGGAGACATTCTAAGGCAGGTTCAGAAGTCCCACCAAGGGCCAGGTAGCCTGCATCTTGTTCTAAGGTTTCAACAAACAAAATAAAGGTCATCTCCTCGACTGATGTCATTGCCAAGTGGTTCACCTTTGTCACAGTCACAACTAGCCCAGAAACAGCTTTTCTAGAAGACAGATGAATCCTTCCTCCATCCATTTCCTGCTTTTTAAAAATCCAGGCTAAAGTATGATATTTTGGAAGCGGTGAAGCCTCCTTCCCTGACTGGATATGACTCTCTTTGTTCCAGGTACTCTCTGACCCATTATTTCTACTTTAAGGATAACTAACTGATTGAGAACCAGCTCACAGCCCTGAGCTACAGGCCTGGACTTGGCTAATAAAAAAAGACAGAAAGAACAAAAGAGCCGAGTGACTGTAAGAGGAAGACTACGGAGAATCACACTCAGTTTCCAGGTCAAAGACAAAACCATACAGGAACAGCTCCGATGTTTCTTCACAGCAACGTCAGTCTTTCATAAGCCATCCATCTATGTCCACCTGGACAACCAAAGGGGGAGATTTGTAACCATCTCCTTAGGACACACTGATGTATGCCAACACATCAACATCCCTTAAAAATCAATGAAGGGTCCAGTGGAGAAAATGGGTATTTAACTCTGTTATATAATTAGATTAATTTTTTAAAAGTTTCTTAACTATTCCTCTCTAAGTTTTGTGATTAAAAATGTTCCTACCTGAGGATCACTGGTAGCAACCAAAAACGCATTTGTCCGCCCTGGGTGATCATAGTCATGCATAGCAGCTGCCACATAAAGAGCCATCAGTTCCAAGGCAGGAATGTTCAGCGCCACGCAGCCATAGTTTGGATCCGTCATTGGGCAACTTTTGGAGGAAGTGTATGAAATGCGTACGGGAGAAAGTCCACTACTATATTCTGGGAGGGAAAAATAAACAGCAGAAGTAGCTGTCATTTTCAGTTCAAGGCAACAAAGATTTATAAAGTATCTATTACATGAAATGAAGGCTTGGCATTGTCGGACATAGACAGAAATAAGATTCAATCCCTGCCTTCACGTAGACCTTAAGGTCTAGTGTAGACAGCATGACACAGAAACAAATAACTTTACTGGAAAGCAGACTATGTTAAGAGGACCGTAAGCTAAGTGATCTATCAACTCTCGGAATGAAATGTCAATGTGGCCTGGGGAAAGGAAGATTAAAGAAAACTTCACAGAAGAGGCGGAATCTGAACAGGCCCCTGAAGGCCCATCACCATGCTAAGCTTCCTCACATTCAGTATTACTTGCCTTATTTTCCTATAAATAATCTTATAATTCTTTACATGCAATGATTGACACAGATAACTAAAAGTTATCAGCTCTGAAATATACATGATCAACTCTTCTGTTGTTGTTGGACTTAGGACTTCATTGGTATAGGGATCTCCTGGTAAGGATGCTGTCTCTATCACAGCAGAAAGTAACTCCTGCACACTCTGCTAGTATCAGAGAGCTGCCTGGGACACTGAGACATTAAATGTCTTGACCATGGTAATCTTGCCTCCTCAATGTGGGTCTATATCTTATACAGGGTATTCCCAAGAGGCAGATTAACTACTTGCCTTTCAGATTAACCAGGCTAAAGTACAGGGACCCTTTGTTCTGAAATTAAAGAAGCCTCCCCTAATGAGATATGAACTCTCTTTGTCCTAGGTACTCCTTGACTCATTATTTCCATTTTAACTGACTGATTCATAACCAGTTCATAACCCTAAGATACATGCCTGGACTTGGCCTTTAAAAGAGAATTCAAAAGAGATACAGAAACAAAGAGCTGAGTGACTGTGAGAGGAAAACTACAGAGACTCCAGCTCAACTCCCTGAAGTAGAAGCTGGCCTATCTGCAAAGTCTAGACAACCACATAGCCTCAGGAGAAGAGGAACCATGTGGTTACATAGATGATAGTAGCCCAAGGTAGCGTAATGGTGACATGAGAGCAACACAAAAAGAGAGAGCCACGACATGGAGAGACAAACCCAGTTTGCCCTTCATTAGTACTGTGAGTTAGAAGGCACTCCCAAGTGACACTCCACCCTATTTCTTCAGCCCTTTTGCGATGCCAAGGTCATATGACTAACAATATGGAGAATTAGACATTTTCTCTAATTCTTCCAAACTCCCCAAACTCCTCAAAATAAGAATTACGTGCAAGAGGTCTCCACAGGCCAATACACCAAGTCTAACGAAGTAACAACTTGATAAATTAATAGCATAAAATTAACATAAATACCATAAATTAATACCACAGAAGCCTAATCTCTAATTGCTAACTCAGTGTCCCCTCTTCTACCAATCCCCACAAATAGGCAAAGTGGCATAGCCTGTCCCCGTTGATCCCCTCACCAATGATTTTACTCCTGACCATCCAGGGCCCTCTTCCAGTCATCTTGATCTATATCTCACTACTGGACTCAGATGGCTCTGGAGGAGAAAGTGAGGCTGGTGACTTTGCCCAGCCCTCCCCTCACTTAAATCCAGTTCACTTGTATGTCACGGCGCCACCTCCCTGATGTCATGGTCCTCTCTGAGAATGAAGGGCAAACCACAGCAACAATAAGAAGTTGTTGCCACAGTTCCCCACGCTCACCCCCCCCCACTCTGTGGCAATACGCAGTAAAATAGAATTCTGCCACCCAACACCTTCTCCAGTTAATCTCTGCAGGATCTGGAAGCACTGCAAAGTGAAAGTGTGCTCTCCATCTTGGGCTTCAATCATCTTGCTTGGGTGGGGTGGGGCACCAACCCAGATGGAAAGGATACTGATATTCAGTACTCCAATTATGTCCCTCCAGATGTCACTTGGGACAGGAACTGAGGCCAGCGAAAAAGAGACTATGACAGCTTTGAGACCCAGCCCTCAGAGGATCTACCATCAAAGGGGAAGGTGTCAGAAAGTGAATGATAGTGGAACATAGAAAACAAATAGACAGAAATTACCAAAGATCTCAGGAGAAAGAAAACAGTTAAATATCCTGAGTACAAGTATAGAAAACATCAGGGAAACTATTAATAAACAGAAGGAAGAATGGTCACCAGGACATCTAAACAAGTCTAAACATCTCTGAATAAGTATTGTAAGATGAAGGAAACTGATTGAGGCAGAGATTCCCTAGAGAACGCAGAACCACAGTAAGATATTCTGAATGGTTCAAAAAAGAAACACGAGGGCAGAATTTATGGCCTGCATAGCAGAAATAATTGGCAGAACAAAAAAAAGTGAATCCATGGTGGCGAGTCTCCAGCGAAGCAAAAGAAAGAACAACTGCTTGAGAACACAAATACACAGAAAGAACACATATCTCTACAAATGCAAAACATATTGATCTTGAGGACAGACAGGATGTGTAGAGACACTTAGAATCAAAGGCCTTCCAAAAGAATACCACAGCGTAAGGAATACTACCAGAAAACTTCCCAGAACTTCTAAATACAGAAAAGAAAGAGTCAATGAAAAGAATCCACAGACTGCTTCCAGAAAACAAAAACAAAACCCTATGCCACAACCCTAAAAACACACAGTGGTTTAATTTAAATAATTCCAATGACAAACAATAAATTCTTCAATCAGGAGAAAGGCTTTAAAATATTTTTTAAAAAGAAAGAAAAAGAAATCTGAATAATAGAAGGTTTTTTGCACCCACCAAAAACCCCAGAAGGGAATGGAATGTGTCCCAAAGGGAGCTCAAGATATAACCTGAAGTGACATTCCCATTAAACATGAGCCTAATCATTAATGAAAAAAAGATGGATATTCAATTTTTAAAAATTCACTTAAGGCATTCCTAACAACAATCAAAAAAAAACCCTTAGGTGAGCCAATTATCTGCTTTGCATACACCCCAGACAACAGAAACACAAGAAAAGTAAGTGAACATAGTTACCAAAGAAAGTATAAGAAATTAAATAAATTAACCTAGTTGGGGGGGGAGAGAAAAAAGAAAAAGTCACCTATGGACTTAACAATAAAAGCAGAGGGACCATTAAGAGATTTCCAACTGTATACTAGGAGATAAAGATAAAAGTGGAACCTAATTAGAAGTGAGGAACAGGCATGAAAACATGGACTAAATCAATGTTTTTTGTCAGACTTATCTGCAGAGAAGGCCAATAAAAGGGAGCTTTAAAAAAAAGATTGAGGGAAATATAATTAATAATAATAATAAAAAAATAATAAATATAATGTACCCTATTCAAGTCAATGGTAAACAATGAAGGGAAGATAACTTGTGGTCTTTCAGGAAGAAGAAAGGCTACAGGAAAAAGGTGAAATGGCAAAGGGAGGAATTGAAATGAAGACATCTTACTTCTGTGGTGGGAGGGGATCCCCCTGAAGAACAACGCCATGGGGAAAGAGATCTGTTCTGTAACGGGAGATGGGGACCTTACAATGAACATAATCTGTATGAGATTTTTGGTAGAGTTATGAACAGATCTGACTGTCTGGGATATAAGCATGGGATTATGCAAGCAACTAAACTGCCCATATGTCCTTTGACCTAATGATCCCCCTACTGAGCATGTACCTCAAGGACGTTCAAGATAGGGACAAAGATCTCATATGCACCAAAATATTCATAGTAATATTCTTTGTGGTAGCAAAGAACCAGAAACGTACGCTTCAATCTCTGCTAGAGACCAGTGTAGTTCTCGACACAGTTAAGATACTATTTCGTGGTTGAAGTTTCTCTGAAAGGACAGAAGCATTGCCCCATGGTAGAAATTTTACCGTGTCCTTGACTTTGCAGTCCATTTCTGCTCTTTGCCCTCCCCATGATCATTTTTATTCCAATTTGCCATGAAATATCCTCTCTGAGTCCATATCATTCCACCCTTCTGGATAGGTGTCTTACATGTTCTGGTAGGTTATTTGTTTTATGTCTTTCTCAAGGACTTGGATTAAGGTTTAGATGGAATGCACATGCAATATACAGATAAAAGAAGCTGGGAGCTAACACATTAGGTGACACAACTGGAATCCCAAAAGATTTCAATGGGCCGAGATCTAGTAAGATGAAATATAGCAAGGATAAATGTTAAGCCTTGCACTTGGAATTTTTAAAAAGCACAACTAAACCAGAACAGAGTTAAAAAGTCATGGATATACAAGTCACACAAAAAAGGCCCCTCAGACTTCCACTTTCAGGAGCCAAGATGGCGGAGTAAGAGATGAGTCTCTCTTACTTTCCCTTATTAACCCCTGAAAGCCCAGAAAATATCACCCCAGGAAAAACCCTGGAATAGCTGAACCAGAAGAAAGATGGGGGGGCAGCCATCCAGTAGCCCAGGTAGCTTGAGGGATTAACTGGAAAGGCCCCTCTTACTCTGGGGGAAGGGGAGCAGTACAGAACAGGAGGCATCCCAGCAAGCTAGTAGAAGGCCCCACCTCAACATACCAGGAGGAGATCCTGAAGCCCAGATGGTAGAGCAGGCAAACACCAACACCTGGACCTCGAGTGCCTCATTGTGGGCAGGGGAAACTAGTGAAAACCAGCTCAGAAAACCACCAGGTGCTTTGGCATTCTACAGCAACAGGCTCTCCCAATGCCTCAGCAAAACTTAAGTGAAGCAGCACTCCAAGGGGCCCCAGGCAGATAAACACCCTACAACATCCATCTGAAAAGAGATGAAGAAAGCAAAGGGAAGAAAAGGCCTGGGTGAGCAGGAAATCTCCAGGAGCCACACTACCCAATCCTACCCCTAGAGTTCCAGTATCACTGTTTCCAGCCCAATACCGGGTAAGCTGCCAGAATCCTACAGCCTCCAACTGCCAACATTGGAGGCCCCAGCATACAAAGCCATCGACCAGTCCTCAGGCTCCCAACGCAAGAAGCTTGGGTCAGTGCCCTCTGCTCCCCAGCAGGAGAGCCCAATCTC